GCCCAGATTCTCAGGAGGCTGAGGTGGGAGGATCACCTGAGCCTGGGGAGGTCAAGGGTGCGGTGAGCCATGTATAGTATTATGCCACTATACTCCAGCTTGGGCAACAGAGCGACACCCTATCTCAAAAATAAATAAGATAATTAATTAAAATAAAAGTGCAATCTGTTCCCACCCCTCTTTTAAAATTTTCTCTTTTTTTTTTTCTGAGATGGAGTTTTGCTCTTGTTGCCCAGGCTGGAATACAGTGGTGCGATCTCGGTTCACTGCAACCTCTGCTTCCCGGGTTCAAGTGATTCTCCTGACTCAGCCTCCCAAGTAGCTGGAATTACATCTTCTTCTTCTTTTTTCTTTTTCTTTTTTTTTTTTTTAATTATAGGTATGGGGTCAGGCTGGGCGTGGTGGCTCACGCCTGTAATCCCACCAGCACTTTGGGAGGCCAAGGCGGGCGGATCACGAGGTCAGGAGTTTGAGACCAGCCTGACCAACATGGTGTGACCCTGTTTCTACTAAAAAAAATACCGAAATTAGCCAGGCATGGTGGTGCATGCCTGTAATCCCAGCTACTCAAGAGGCTGAGGCAGGAGAATTGCTTGAACCTGGGAGGCGGAGGTTGTAGTGAGCCGAGATTGTGCCATTGCACTCCAGCCTGGGCAACAGAGCAAGACTCCATCTCAAAAAAAAAAAAAAAAAAAATTATAGGAATGGGGTCTTGCTATGTTGCCCAGGCTGATCTCAAACTCCTGGTCTCAAATGATCCTCCCACCTAGGCCTCCCCAAGTACTGGAATTATAGGTGTGAGCCCCCATGCCCCACTCCCAATCCTCTTGAATCACTCACTCTAGTTCAGACTACCAGATAAGAGTTTTCTAGGAAGGAGATCGCTGGGAAATAACCTCTACACTATCTTCCTGCCTCAGTCTCTCCTTTCTAGCCCAACTACACACTGCCACAAGTTTCCTGAAAGCCTACGTTTTGCATTCAATAACTTAGCTGTATCTACAGACTGAAGTACTAACTTTTTGGGCAAACATAGCCCTTCAGAGTCTGGTGCCAGCTGACCCATCCAGGATGGCCCCTGGCTGTGGGCCACCAACAAGGGTTCTTCCAGCTACACCAGGACCACATGTGTCACAGCATTTTTTCCTCCACCTACATGGTTGGGTCTGATACACTAGAGCCACAGCCCATCTCAGAGGCTTTCTATGTACTCCAGCTCAGGGTGAGGTCCCAGCACTCACTCCTGTGGCACTCAGTCACAGGAAACAGCGCTACCTGAAACGGCTTGCTCTCATGTACCTGACTGAAGGTAAGATGATTTTCACAAAAAGTTTTTTTTTCCTTTTTTTTTTTTTTTTTTTTTGAGACAAGGTCTCACTTTGTTGTCCAGGCTGGAGGGCAGTGGTGTAATGTTGGCTCATGGTGGCTTCCAACTCCCCGGCTTGAGCAATTCGCCCACCTCAGCCTCCCAAGTAGCTTGGGACTACAGGCATGTATCACTTCGTCTGGCTAATTTTGTTTTATTTTTTGTAGAGACAAGGTTTCACTATGTTGCCCAGGCTGGTCTTGAACTCCTGGACTCACCTGATCTTCCCGCCTCAGCCTCCCACAGTGGTGGGATTACAGACGTGAGCCACCACACTCAGCTAAGAGTTTTTCTTGTAGAGAAAATTTTACATCTTTATTCTCTTTCCCATCTTTCCATGCCAGAGGGTCTCAACAGGGGACAATTTTGCCCTCCAGGAGACATTTATGACATCTAGAGACATTTTTGGTTGCTGTGACTGAGGGACTGCTATTGGTATCTAGTGGATAGAGACCATGGATACTGCTAAACATCCTGTAGTAACCAGGTGCGGTGGCTCACACCTGTAATCCCAGCACTCTGAAAAGCCAAGGTGGGAGGATCACTTGAGGTCAGGAGTTCAATACCAGCCTGGGCAACATAGTAAGACCCCATTTCTACAAAACAAAGAAGTTAGCCAGGCATGATGGTGCCTACCTATAGTCCCAGCTACTCAGAAGGCTGAAGCAGGAGAAAGGCTTCAGCTCAGCACTTTGAGGCTGCAGTGAGCTATGATCGCACCACTGCATGCCAGCTGAGGCAACAGAGTGAGACTCTGTCTCAAAACTAAAAACAAAATCCTACAGTGCACAGGACAGTCTCCACAACAAAGGACTATCCATCCCAAAGTCAACAGTGCTGAGGCTGAGAAACCTTTTATTAAAGTAACAAGTAGCAGACAGAACCGTTTCCCTTCTGTTGGTAATGCCAGCAAATAGTGAAATACCTGACATAAGTGCTGAAGACAGGACAAAGATTTACTCAGGACCTGAAGAACCATAAACTGACATTATCAAAGGAAGTCACTCGCTCCTGCTTTGGGTTCACTTAGAAATATACTAGATGGCAATCTGGCAGTCCCAGTTGCCGCAGAACAGCAGGATATGCAGCAAAGACTGCTCTCTACTGCTGACTCTCAATTATGGGGCAGCTGGCTGAAGGACACAGATGCACCCAAACCTCAATGCAGCTTGAATACCCTGCATGTGGCAAGCTGAGCCGGGAAAACTAACAAGACTGCTCGCACAGCAAACATGTCCTGAGCACCTTCCTGCCTGGCCCTGTGCTAGCACTGGGGACATGAAAGAATGACAAAGTGGTCCTCCTTGAGGAGCTCCTAGTCTAGTGGGGACATATAGTAGTAAACAGTTACTGATCTTCACAATTGGCTTGGCTGATCTCACTTCCATTTTCCTTTAAAAATCCTTCAGGGAAAGGAGAAAAACAATGAAGTGGAAAATAAAGCAGTGGAGCTCCACTGCTGATTAAAATCTATATTGCTATGGCAGCCCCTTTGAGACAGGATCAGCTCCTGGGTTTGCACCAGCTGGGCTTGTGGAGCTTGTAAATAATTAAAAGGTAATTGGAAGGGGAGACCAAAGTATTAAGTGGATTTCTCTCTCTCAGGGCAAACAGGGAGGTTCATTGCTGCCAGTCACATTATCTTTCAGGATTTTATATATATATATATATATATATATATATATATATATATATATTTTTTTTTTTTTTCCAATATCTACTATATTTTTTTTTCACTTATTTTTGAATGGAGTCTCACTCTGTTGCCAGGATAGAGTGCAGTGGCACAATCTGGCTCACTTTTTTTTTTTTTTTTCCTTATTTTTGAATGGAGTCTCACTCTGTTGCCAGGATAGAGTGCAGTGGCACAATCCTGGCTCACTGCAACCTCCATCTCCCGAGTCCAAGCAATTCTCCTGCCTCAGCCTCCCAAGTAGCTGGAACTACAGGCAGGCGCCACCACGCCCAGCTAATTTTTGTATTTTTAGTAGAGACGGAGTTTCACCATGTTGGCCACGATGGTCTTGATCTCTTGACCTCCTGATCCACCCACCTTGGCCTCCCAAAGTGTTGGGATTACAGGCAGGAGCCACTGCGCCCAGCCTCAGGATTATCTTCTTGTTTTTTACTGACACGTGTAGTTCCAGGTAACAGCTGGAGGAGCAAACTAATGAGGGCTGCTCAGACTGCTTTGATGGGCTTAGAGATTGGGGAAAACCAAGATTCAAAACTTTCGATTGCCTTTTTAAGCAAACCAGCAGTAACAAACATGCTACCAAGAAGGCAATAAGGCTGCCAAAGGTAAAGGAGTGGGAGGAAGGAGGGAAAGAGAGAGAATGAGCTTAGAATATTTAGCTGCTGGGGGCTGCCATTACAGCTTGGCCCAGGATAAAGAGGAAGATTTCATTCTTAAGTCTCAATAAAGTTGTTGACACAGGCACCAAGGGATGCATGATCAGCTGTAACAGGATGCTGGGAACAGGCTACTGGGAGTAGTTCTCTCCTATGGTTTTGTCCTGAGGGTGATTAAGGTGGAGCCACACAGGTTGCTGAAGGCCTTTTCCTAGAGAGGCTGGGGTGCTGGCCATGCATTCTGAGGGCTGACCTGGCTGGTGAACCCATTGCTATGACTGAATACAAAGCCAGGAAGTTGAGTCACTCAGCTCTAAACTCAGTCACACCATAGTCTATAGTGGAGATGGCTCTTGGGGATGTGCGGGGAGTGAGGAGAGAAGGAAAGAGAATTGGGAGGGTGCATTATAAAGCAGATGGCGGCTGGGCACAGTGGCTCATGCCTATAATCCCAGTACTTTGGGAGGCCAAGACAGGTGGATCACTTAAGGTCAGGATTTTGAGACCAGCTTGGCCAACATGGTGAAACCCCATCTCTAGTGAAAAAAAAATACAAAAATTAGCCAGGCATGGTGGTGGGCACCTGTAGTCCCAGCCACTTGTGAGGCTGAGGCACGAGAATTGCCTGAACACGGGAGGCAGAGGTTGTAGTGAGTTGAGATCATGCCACGGCACTCCAGCCTGGGCAACAGAGTGAGACTCTATCTCAAAAAAAAAAAAAAAAAAAAAAAAGCAGATGCCTATGTACCTGACCGTTAAACTGCAGGAATGTACTAACCAAGCCAGCAAATACAAACATCAAAAGTCAATGGGTAAGAAGAAAGTGTTGGCCTTTCCTTTCCAAGGATCATTTCAGACCTTTCCAAAATATCCTGAGGGGCCTCTATTCTTTCACTTACCTTTCTCAGTCTCCATGAGACTAGATACACCAACAAGAAGCCTTACATGCTAGATTAAGTGAAGTCCAGGGTAGCTTTAAGGCTTAAAAAAAGGCATATTTGAATTTGAAGTGATTCCAGAGACCAGTTAATTGGAAGAAGAGACACAAAATCAGGCAGGGCCAAACGTGGACGATCATTCCATCTACTTTGCGCCAACGCCTTCTCTGTCCTCTTCAATCTGGCTATCAGTTATTTGGCTAAATCCAGAACCAACTGGCAGTAAATGCCTCTTGTCCTCCTGGATGAGGATTAGTGGTCCAGGATGTCTAACAGTGATTAGCACACAGTAGGCACTCTATCAGTATTCCCTGAATTGGAACGATGAGTAGATGCACACTCACCCCTCTTCTGCATAAAGACGAAGAGGTCATCCAGGAACTCTTTCCTTTCAGGATCACCGTCCAGTTCATACAGCTGCAATCCCAATCCCCCAAGAAAAACACACAATGAAAAATTCCATCTTGCTGAAGTCTTATACCAGTTACACTATGGCCATCTGAATCACTACAAATGCAACTCACTGGCTACTTTGGTCCTTATTTCTTGGGAATCAGCTATAACAAGCCACTGCAGAACTGCCCCTATCTATATCACAAAGGAAATATTACAGACCTTGGCAAAATCTCGAGAGATCTCTCTTCCCCGGCCTCCATCTGCATCATCACTCCAGGCCAAACCACCATTCTAAAAGGGAACAAAACACAAAGTTGAGAGGGGCAAAGGAAGAGAAAGAGTTAGGACGGAGGGCAAGGCAATCATTTAGGGCAAAGATGAAGACGCTTAGCAATTGTGCTATCCTCACTCATACTATAAAAGACACCTCAGAAGACTAATTCTGCCACCCTTATAGGGACATCTTTTTTTTTTTGCTTTCGATTTGGTTCCAAAATAAAGAGGGAATCAGGTGGAAGAATCTTCTTCATTTGTTGGAGAACAGTGGGTGTCATTTATACTTGATAATCCTGGAAGAGGAAGACACAAAGGCCCACGTTGCTTAGAAGGGGCTCATTCCCAGCTGATCCTCAGAAGCCATCACTCTGAGATGCACCACTTTCCTGCAGACTGGGAAGATACCTCGCCCGGTTTCCTACACAACACTCTAAGTGATAAGGGTCAAAGCAAGCAGCACATACATCCTGAAGTTGGTCTCTTAGCCAAGCCTCACCATTCAAAACCCTAAGCCGCATGGCAAGAATTCATGGTGATACGAGGGCCACTATGGACTGAGATTGTTCCCAAGGTACAGACTCTGTGCCACTAGGGCGAGAGTTCATTTTTATTAGAGAAACAATGAAAATCTAAGCCCATCTTGAGTGAATGGGTTGAAGCAACACCATTCAACTAAATAGGAAGGAATGGCAAATATTCTTTAAACTTGCTTCCCATCTTTATTCAGTCCAGTAACTCTTTCTTTTTTTTTTTTCTGAGACGGAGTTTCGTTCTTGTTGCCCAAACTGGAATGCAATGGTGCGATCTCAGTTCACTGCAACCTCCACTTCACGGGTTCAAGTGATTCTCCTGCCTCAACCTCCTGGGTTGCTGGGATTACAGGTGCATGCCACCACGCCCGGCTCACTTTTTTTTTTTTTTTTTTTTTTTTTGTATTTTTAGTAGAGATGGGGTTCCACCATGCTGGCCAGGCTGATCTCCAACTCCTGACCTCAGGTGATCTGCCCACCTCGGCCTCCCAAAGTGCTGGCAATACAGGCATGAGCCACTGTGCCCAGCCAAGTCCAGTAACTCTTATTCCTCCAATCAGGTATCTCTTCAGCAGAAAGCCTTTCCTTCAACCATGGCTATACTAAGTACTCTAGAAGCAATCTCTTCACTTCTAGCTTAGATTTTTAACATATTACTTGGAAAGTATCTGTCATCCCCACCATATGGTAATCTCCTTGAGAGCAAAGGTGTCTTATTTATCTTTGTCCTCAGGCACATAGCACATTGCCTGGTACAACAATTAAGCACCTCTTCAAAAAATATACAGATACCTTACAGGGGTTCAAAAAGTCTTTGTGCTAGTGAGGGTATGAACTCTCACAGGAGAACTCTGTTGTTCACCCCGACCCACCGGTCAGTGGAGGTCCCACACCAAATCTGTCATACTCATTTCTCCCATAGGACCACAGGCTGCCCGGGGTATGTATGTGGTGAGGAAAGGACATGTGGAGCTGGGGAGCAGTGGTTTCTTGGGAGAACATTCTTTGGACTACTCAGGAATCTTCTTCTAAAACCATGTCAATGAAATAAAAGCTTGGTTGAATTCCATTCTCTTCCACCTTCCCCTTTAATAAAGCTTGTCTGAAAGGAGAAGGCATTATGCAGTTACATTTTGGGGCCATACTTTGCTTCACCTATTCAAAGTGGGCTCTGAGATGCAGACCCACTTTCTGATAGCAGCAGTCTGGCACACAGTGATGTAAGTATAATCAAGAAGTGACACTCTGTCAGTTAAAATGAAACAGACTACACTAAACTGTTTCTCTGCTTATCTAGTAAAAGACGTGTGTACGGAAGTGGCTCGGTAAATGCTATCTGACCGTGCACTCATCATTTCCCAAGGCAGACATTGTTGGATTCCTTCCTACAGTACCTTCAGCTGAGGGGAGCCAATAACCAAGTGGGAGGAACATTGTTTAGAAAGAAAAAAAAGCTAAAGCTCATCCCACATTGTAATTACAGTCACCAGAAATCTGGTGTCATCTGGTGGCAACTAGCACAATGAATAATCAAGACGAATTATGCCTGTCAGGTCAGCAAAACCAGAGAGAGTTACATTCCCCCTTTCAAAGGATGCAGTAGGTTGCCCTAATGCCCAGTGATTTTGTTTGAGCCAGTAATTCCTGCTGGAAAGTCAATTATCCCGGGAGCCCCTATCGGCTGAAAGACATTTAATGGGGGATCATTGCCGCTTCTGTTATGTCAGCTGTTTACTGCGGCAGCTCAATTCCCAACTCTCTGGCCAGAGCTCTGAAGCTGATCTCATTCACAGAAGGATTCTTTCTCTATCAGTCATCAAGAGAGATGAAAGCACCTTTTTTTTTTTTTTTTTTTTTGCTAATTATAGTAACTTCCAAGCACTCTGAATGCTCACTCAAAAACTATTTAGCACTCAGTTGGGTGGAAAGGGTGGAATCCACAACCTAAAAAGTCAGACAGGGCTTTCCACAGCAGGACAGCAGTGTGAAAACAAGCACGCTGCTGTGACCACTATGTGACTATGTGTGAAAATAAACACCCAAGTGTGAGCGCTCGGCTCCAGGCACGGAGAATGCCTTGGTAGGATGGGGGCTGGGGCCGGCAGGGTCCTCTTGACTTCTCCAGCTTTGTCCAACCTGCAAGAGAATCCGAGCAGTAGGATGGTGAGGCCTTGCACAGAGCCCACTAAGTGTGACCCACTTAGCTTGAAATGCCTCCAGCTTGGTGACCACAGAGATCAGGAAGACTTGCCAGAGCAGGAAAGAAATGAGACACCGAACTCTGAGTAATCCCACTGTTGGACCCATTCCACAGATAGGAACTGTCAGTTACTCTATTTAAAGAAAATGTGGGGAAAATAGTTGCCCAGAGAGGAGGTATTTTCTTTTGTCCAGCTCCAAGGCAAGGATGCTCCATTCAGCTGGGGCTGATGGAAAAATGCCCAACGTGCATTCATTCTTTGTCTTAAGGCAGTTAAACTTTGATCCTGCTTCACAGGATTTTCTGGTTGAGGTGAGAGTAATTCCTGAGCCCTGCCTGCCTTTCACAGTGTAGCAGAGCCTCCTGCCTCTGCCCAGCAGGCAGATTCAATGCCTTTCTCCTCTGGGCTCTATCACCTGTGTTCAGTTACTTGTCTGTCTCCAGCCCTGAGCGCATAGAAAGCACTGACCAGCTGGGCATGGTGGCTCTTGCCTATAATTCCAGCACTTTAAGACCAACCTGGGCAATATAGGAAGACTCTCTCTCTCTTTTTTTTTTTTTTGAGACAGTCTCTCTCTATTGCGTAGGCTGGAGTGCAGTGGCATGATCTTGGGTCACGGCGACCTCCACCTCCCAGGTTCAGGTAGTTCTCCTGCATCATCCTCCTGAGTAGCTGGGACTACAGGTACATGCCAGTATGCCTGGCTAATTTTTGTATTTTTGGTAGAGGTGGGGTTTTGCCATGTTGGCCAGGCTGGTAAGGGAGACCCCATCTCTACCAAAATAATAATAATAATAATAATAATAATAAAATAAAGAGGGAGCACTGACACATCTGCTAAAAGACAGAGACGGGCTCCCCCGTGGGACCTCCAACCCCACAGCTCCTCTGTCTTCCCCTCCCCCTTTCACTGGGTGGGTTATAGGCTTAACCAGTTATTTTCTTGGTTCTTAACTCTGATCAACTGTTGTGAAACATGGTCACTTATGCAATTCAAGTTTGTGTGCAGTAGGTTTCTCGGCTTATCAATAGGGTATGGGTGTGACTACTAGAAAATTATCAGCCCAGAAATAATTTTTTCTCGGATGCTGACTGTGGCTGACTGAGACTGTAATGGTGGAAGAAAGCAGGGAACAGAGGCAGATGGAGTGTGGGGAAAACAAACCCAAAAAGAGACAGCTCAACATTTTAGGGATCAAAAGAGGTTGATGAGGAAAGCATTTCGGTTGAAGGCTTGCTGCACGCAAGTTTAACCTGCCCAGGGAACAGACTTTGTTACACCATCAGCAGCAGGCAGCAGTATTATATAGCCCAGAAATGTGTGTGGGAAGTCAACAGTAGCCAGAGTGGCCACTTATTGCCATTTACAGCCTTCTCAGCCTCTCCTACTTGAGAACTGTCTTTTAACATCTTTGATCTCTCCAGGAGCTCACAGGAAACTGATAGTTTGCTCCCAAATACACACCCAAGACTAGCTTTGGCTACTATACCTACATTCAGCTAATTTTCCCCAGGAAAAGAAGGTTGGGGGAAAGGGAAAAGGTAGCAGAAAGCTAGTGTTTGTGTGCCTTCTGCATACTAAGGATTGTACCAGGAGCCTTACAAGCATTTTCTCACTTAATTCTATAATGTAGAAGTGGTTATTTTAGAAATGGGAAAACAATGGCTCAAAGAGCTCAAATAACCCGCTCAGAGCTTCTTAGTGACAGTGCCAGGATGTAAACCTAGGTCTGTTTGGCTCTCTCTGTTACACCATGCTGACTTGTAGTTGGAAAGAATAACACTAAGTGTTCTGGGTAGGGAGATCAAGAAGGGAGAAAGGAAGAAAAAGAAGTGAGAATAAAATCCTCTGTCCATAGATGCCTGAAATGCCCAGGTCACGGCACTGGGCAGCTCCTATCAATGGGAGATTCTTTTATTCCTTGCTTTATCTCATGGCTTCACCTGTTCACTTTAGCCAAATGAAAAGCAGCCCTCACACAATGCTTGCCCAGGAGAGTTATCTGGCAGTTCTGAAATAAGAATTGCTAACTTTTTACCTCCCTCCAAAATAGACCATTCAAGTAGAATGAGCCCCATCTTCCCCCAGAAGACAGAGGATCAGGGGAGAGGGAGAGAGAAAGAGAGAAGAGGGCTACACCTCTGAATGGACCAGAGGAAGATGGCAGCTTACACTGTGACACGTACACACATGCCTTCAAAAATAATGAATCAAGGTCTAATAACCTGACTGCTACTCAAAATTAGAATAATGCTTCCCCAGCATCTCAACCCTGGAACCCAT